TTTCTCTGTTACCCTTCCTTACAGCCCAATATTAGGTGAAATAAATATAGATTGCTTTGTAAAAAATCCCTGATCTTACTTTTACCTCATCAATGGGAGAATTTTAAGTTTTTATCCTAACATTCAATACAGATAAGTTGTTTCATAGAAACAGACTAACAGCTTTTGAGTGGCTCAAGTCAATAGCCATTTAAATAACAGTAAGGTTGGACTAGGGTTGAAAATTCCACATTTGCCATCAACTAGCTGTGTGATTTTGTACATGGTTTATGATCTCTCCTTATGTAAAGCGAGTGAGAGGTACTGGATAATATTTTAAGATTCTATCCAACTTTTAGGGACAGAAAACTGAGACACGGTGATAAAGGGGCATGGGTATATGGGTATACAAGGGGTAAAAACTCAGGTTCAATCCTGTTGAACTATGCCAACATAGCTGGGGGAGTTATATCTACAGTATATACTCCAGTTTGTTAGCTTTTTTTAAGAGCCCAATTCAACTCTATTCTAGAAATAAGTTATTAAGTACCTATTCTATGTACCTTGTAAAGATAAGGCCGAAAAAGGGGGGTGGCATGGAGCCAAGGCCATGGCAGAGGGTGAAGAATGATGAACTTTTCTCCTGACTTATTCAGTCACTGGCTCACAGTATTCCCTTACACTAACAATGCACTACATACCTCCCATAGGACCCCCTCACAGGCGACAGGTGCCAAAGCTGGCCAACAGGTTTCAGATCCCTCAGGAGAGTAACCCTGCCCAGGTTTAATGAGTAACTCACTTGTCCTCAAAAGAAGCAGGGTGAGGCCTAGTATGCTGTAGGGGGGGAGGGGGGGACAGGGAGTACAACTGGAAAGGCAAAAGGGTACTGAATACAAAAGGCAGCTTTCAGAAAATATACCTATGGGAAGCACCCAAGGTTTGGGGCAAAGTTCTTACGTGCATCATGGAAAAAGCAAAGAGTGAGAAGAGAATCCAGGAGAAATTTGCCAAAATGCTGCTCCTAGATCCAAATTTGTTGCCTCCAGGTCCAAATCAACCGACAAGATTCAGAAAAGACAAGCACAAAAAGAAGTCCTGGTCTGTGAGCCAGGAGACCCGGGTTCCAGTCCCGCTTGCTTATATGACCTCAAGCAAATCATTTCTCCACTCTGAACCTCTGTCTCTTCATCATTAAAACAAAGAAAATCCATGGAGGAGTAGAAAGAGAGAACTATTAGGGCCTGCTTCCAGTCTAGGCCCTTCAGCCGTCAGTGAGGAAAGTAACCCCTGTGTGGAAAAGGGGGACCACCAACTTCACCACCACCACCAACCAGCACTGGACAACTGCCATTTATAGGCAAGTAATCCCAAGAGCTCCAGGAGTGGAAGCACCCCATCCCAAATCACTGGCCCTGCTTCCTCCCCCTGCCCCCCCAACCTTAGCCATCATCCAGGGATACAAAACAGCTACTGAAAACCCAGAAAAGAAAGTTCTTACCACCAAAGTCCTTGGCAAGGTCAAATGGTTCAGCATCAGAAAATGATACGATTTTATCAGTAGAAATGGCATTAAAGAAGCATTATCATGCCCTTTGGGGATTGCAACATTCCAGACATTCATAGGGGAAAAAAAATAACACACACACACACACACACACACACACACACACACATACACACAACTAAACATTCATGGGGCCTTTCCATCTGACTTGCAGCAGAAACCTCCACTATAGCTTTTCTCTTCCTGGTGTTCAGGGACTGTTGTCCTTTTCTATTTGTATGCCCCAGCACTTAGCACAGTGCCCGGGCATTCAGCCAGCACTTAATAAATGTTTTTTTCATTCATTCATTCATTCATTGTTGGTGAGATTTTCATGAAGTTTTTTAAATTTAAAAAAAAAAAAAGACATAGAAATTTTAAAAATTACTTTGACGCTTAAGGAGCCATGACTTCTATCAAAGTGCTTAGTAGACGATCTTATTGAGTTGCTGTGGCTAAAAAAAATTCATCCCCAGGTAGTCAACCTTCTGGTGATGAGCCTCTCTGACTGAAAATGAAAAATAATCGACGAGCTAGTTAATAAGTAAAACTCAGCCATTACAACATCTGCCTCTTCAAATCTATTAATCATAGCATGGATGGGTCAGTGAGGTGGCACAGTGGATAGAACACTGGCCCTAGAGTCCAGGGGACCTTGAGTTCAAACCCAGCCTCAGACACTTACTAGCTGTGTGACCTTGAACAAGTCACTTAACCTCCCCACCAAAAAATCATAGCATAGGTGACCCTGAGCTTTCATCAGAATCTTATAGAAAGAACACCAGCTTTGGAATTGGAGAAAAGTGAGTTTAAATTCTGCCTCCACTCCATCCTAGGGCAAGTCACTCAATCTCTCAGCTTCCTCATCTGTAAAACCAAGGGGTTGAACTGGATGACCGACTGCCAAAGTTCCTTCCAGCTCTCAATCTAATGCCAGTGTTAGCCCAAGGACTGAAAGGAAGAAAACCAGATGCCTGCCACAGAAAGTATTAGACTCTCTAGTGTCTGTCTCCATATGACCACACCCCCCCCCCCCCCCACTTCTCCACAGCCACCACCCTGATTCAGGTCCTCTGTACCTTTATCGCGTTACCAGACTATTACAATAGCTTCCTACTTGGTCTCCCCACCTTTGGCACTGCGCCTCCCATCCCCAACCCACACCACTGCTCCTATCTATTCTTGACACTGCCAAAATAATATTTCTAAGACATAGATCTGATCGTATCATTCCTGCGGCTCACAAACCTGCAGGGGTTCCCTACTGCTTGTAAGATAAGATATAAATTCTTCAGTCTGGGATGTGAGGCTTTCCGTATATCAGCTTCTTTTAACTCTTTTAGCCTTTATTTCAGTGGGCTTTCATTCACAAACCCTAGAGGTGAATAGAGCACTAGGCCTGAAAGTCAGGGAGACCTAAGTTCAAATCTGGCCTCAGATGCTGTGTGGTCCTAGGCGAGTCAGTTAATCTCTATCTGTCTCAGTTTCATTCCCTGAAGACTGGGATCATAATAGCACCTCCCTCACAGAGTTGTTGTGAGGATCAAACAAGGTATTTGTAAAGTATTCAGTAAACACATTTGATGTTGTTGTTGTTTGGTCATTTCAGTTGTGTCTGACTCTTTGTGACCCCATTTGGGGTTTTCTTGGCAAAGATATTTGCCATTTCCTTCTTATGCAGATGAGGAAACTGAGGCAAACAGGGTTAAATGACTTGCCCAGGGTCACATAACTAAGAAATATATGAGGCTGGATTTGAACTCAGATCTTCCTAATTCCAGGCCCAGCACACTATCCACTGTGCCACCTAGCTGGGAGCAAGCACATAGTACACGCTTAATAAATGTTTGTCATTCCCCATCCCACCATGAGCCCTGTTCTGCAGGCAAAGTAGACTATTAGCTGCGTCTCCTTAACAGACCATTCTCTTGTCTCTATCTATTCACACAGTCAGCTTCCAGTGTCCTCCCCTCATCTCCCTTGAGATCTTTCTCTTCCTTTAAGGCCTCAAAATGCTTTCTTTTCTTGATTCTCCTAACCTAAATGCTCTCTTCTTCCTTGAATTTTCCTATTCCTATGGTACTTTGCCAATCTCTCTACTCCGGTTCTATCACATTCTACTTTGCATTACAGACGGCAGATTTAGATCTGAAAGAGACCTTATCAGTAGATTACCTAGTCTCGTGGCCTCATTGTACAGATAGAGAAATGGAGGACTAGAGAGTTTCAGTGACTTGCCAAGATAAAGCAGCTAGGATCCAAAACTAGGTTTTCCAATGCCAAGTCCAGCAATATGACTTATTTGTATAGATGTCATATCCTCGTACTTGGTTACAATAGGGAACACATCTTGAGAAGCAGTATGATGTCATGAAAATGGCAGAACAGGCAATGTTGCCTCGAGCAAAGATTTCAGACTCTCCCTCCAGGGCAGAGAGAACCAGATGAAAATATAATTGGGAAATGTTTAACAAAATAAATAAAAATACAATATAATATTAGTAATGTTCACTTCTGATTTTCAAAGTCAATATGGGGTAGTAGGAATCCATTTCTATTTGAATTGGACACCACTGGCCTAATGGATATGGCTTGGAATTAGAAAGACCTGGATTTGAATCCTACCTCAAATACTAGCAGTACGACCCTGGGCAAATCATTTAATCATTCTGAGACTCATCTGTAAAATAAGGAGGCTGGACTAGATGACCACTAAAATCTCTTACAACTCTAAATATAACATCCTTTGATCCTAAGTCAGGAGACCTTGGTTCTAGTATTGACTCCAAGGCACACTAGCTGTATGACCATGGACAAGTCACTTAACATTTCTGAGCCTCAATTTCCACATCTGTAGAATGAAGAAAATAACCATCTACCTCACTAGGACATTATAAAGAAAGTGCCTTATAAATCTTAAAGTGCTATTTTAATGTTATTATTACTAGCCTTTAAGAAAAAAAAAAACAAATTGGGGGCAGCTAGGTGGCACAGTGGATAGAGCACTGGCCCTGGAGTCATGAGGAGCCAAGTTCAAATCTAGCCTCAGACCAGACACTTGACACGTACTAGTTGTATGACCCTGGGCAAGTCACTTAACTCCAATTGCCTCACCAAAAAAAAAAAAAAAAAAAGAAAGAAATCTGGACCTATAATTTTATCAGTATGGGGAATTCTTGGTGTGGAAGCTCCTTTCTCTGACAAGATCAGCAGTTCATCTATAACAGATAGTCTTAGAATTGCTATCATGATGCTTCGTTACATATATACATGTATAATTATATGCTATAATGATCTTAAGTATTAACACAATTATTACAAATAATACTAGAGCTACAGTTGTAATTATATATAGGCCCTATCACAGTGGCTGACATATAGTATGTCTAATAAATTTTTGTTGAAGTGAGCTAAGTTAGCCCCCTACCCATACTCAGAGTGACTGAGAAAGTCTCCGTAAAGATGCCCCACCTACCATGGGCAGCTTGAAGCCTGAGATACTGGGAAAGTCATGGTGTTCCATGTGGTAGCCCACATTAAAGGTCATCCAGTTGAGAGGCCCATAGTAGGAATAGGTCTCATAGCCCTTCAAGAACAGATAGTGCTCAGCAATGAAGTGACCAGAGAAGGGGTGTATTCCTGTACAAAGGAAAGTGCCTGCGATAAAGTATACAATTGGCTTCAGCCCCCATAGCATATAGATCACAAGGTCGACTGCAAGCTGGGTCAGCGCATTGTAGATCTCCATCTGTGTAATAGCCATGGGGTTTACAAAGAGTGGACGCAGGGCGTAAAATAGTGGTTGCAAGAAGAGCCAGAGGAGCTTCCTCACTGGCGTGCAGAAGAACCAACACTCAAAGTCTGTGGGGATGTCCACATCTAGTTTGTCACCACCCAGGTAGCGATGGTGATCAATATGATACTTCTTGAAGGAAGCGGAGTATGGCAAACCAATGGGGAGGTTGGCGAAGACTGCAAACCAGCGGTTCCGCTGAATAAATTTGTTGCCAAAGGCCACGTTATGAGAGATGTCATGGATGGCCAGAGTCAAGGAGTGGTTCACACAGCCCCCAAAGGCATAGGCCCAGAAGAAGACCCATCGCCAAGACAAGTCTTTGACCAGGTAACAAGCGAAGAACTGGGTCAGCACCAAGCAGGACACAATCCATTTCAAGTGTGGATCTGGGCCCATTAGTGATTTGATGGCTGGATACTTAGCTAAAGGGGAAGACAGAAACATTTTCAAAGCAAGAAGAATCAATTCATTTCACCTTGTGGATAGTGGGGTTTTGGAGTGAGCACCCAACACAGTACAAACTTAATATTATTCATTTGGATATAATTTGGGTATAATATACTCATTTGGCATGTAGCACAAGAGAACATTAGAACTGGAAGGGATCTGCGAATGACAAAACCATTCATTCAAATATTTGAGTGTCTACTGAAGCGGTTCTCCAACTTCACACTTCCCTTCATACTTTGTGATACGGCCACATCGGCCACCTTGCTACACCTCACAGATGACATTCTATCCCTTCATTCCAGGCCTTTTTACAGCCTGTCTCCCATGCTAGAATTCTCTCCCTTCTCACCTCTGCTCCTGACTTCTCTGGCTTCCTTCATGACTCTGATCAAATCTCACCTTCTACGAGAGGACTTTCCTGGCCCCCCTCAAGGTCAGTGCCTTCCCTCTGAAATTACTTATGTGTATACCTCTATACACACACACACACACACACACACACATATACACACATATACACACACATATATGCACATGTTGTACATTATACACACATATACATAGAGAGATATAGATAATAGACAGACAGACAGACAGATAGCTAGCTAGCTTGTACAAGTTTTTATGCTGTCTCTTCTATGGGAATGTGAGCTCCCTGAGAATAGAGATTGTGTTTTTACATTTCTTTGTACCTTCATCACTTAGGATAGTGCCTGGCACATAATAAGTACTCAATAAATACTTGTTTTCTGCTTTTGTTTGTCTCATGGCCCTGAACCCTTAAGCTGGCAACAATACAGGAGAGTCAGGAGACACACTTGCACATTTTTCCTTCAATAAGGGCAGTTTTTTGGGTTAATTTCCTTGAAAGTCCAAAGTCCGACATGTTTTGACGTTAGTATGCGTATATAATAAGCAAGTTTAATTTATTTTGCAAATATTATACTATATCTGCCAGGAAAGTAAAATTTATATTAAAACCAAATTACTCATAAAGTTTCTTTTATTTGCAATAACATTTCAAAGCTTTCGCAGCACACCAAGCACTCCCATGATATTTTGTTAGAGTTATCTGCATCCATTTTACCCTTCTCTGAGGTGATGGATTCCCTGAGAATGGGGATTGTGTTCTCTCCACTCTGCTCCAAGGACATGCTTGGGTGGAGAATACAAATTTCCCCTGGTCACATGGATTGTTCTTGGCCAAGCTCCTGACCTGGCCAGTACCCTTTCCACTGTTGTCCCCTGTCTTGCATTATAATCATTTTATTTTTGTCTTTGTTATGGTTTATGCTCCCTACTAGATGGTTAAGTTCCTTAAAGACAGGGATCATGTTTTATTTTGCTTTGTACATCCCACAGTTCCAACTACAAAGTAAAGAGCTTTGCATATAGGACGCACTCTATACATACCTGTGGATGACTATAGAATATATATTAGATATGTGTATATATGTATATTATAACATAAATACAACATAACAAGTATATGTATACATACGTATGCACACACATATATTAGTATTAGTATGACAGACAAATCTATGATAAACTACATAACAAAAAGTCTCCCCTTGCATCAATATCCAAACACTCTGTTGTCTATTCTATTTTTCTAATAGGAAGTTTTTCCTTCTATAGAGAAGTTATCACCATGTAACTTCCTCCTATTGTTCCTTATTCTTGCTGGGAATGAGCAGAACAAGGATAATCACTCTTCCACATAAGCACCCTTCCAGTGCTTGAAGGCATTTGTCATATCCCCATTAAGTCTTTTCTTCTCCAACTAAACATCCTAAATTTATTCATTATCTTAGTTGAAATCATTATTTGCTTCCTCCACTTGTAGCTACTCTCCCTCTTAGGGTCTTACAATCTTCTTTTTAAAATAAATACATCGCAGTAATGCAAGGATCTAAGACATCTCCAAAGGTCTCATGATGGAAAATGCTATCCATGTCCAAAGAAAGAGCTATGGAGTTTGAATGCAAATTGAAGCATACTATTTGCTATTTTTTTCTTCTGTTTTGCTTTGTTTTTTCTTTCTTGTGGTTCCTCCTATTGGTTCTAATTCTTCCTTACAATATCACTAATGTGAAAATATGTTTGATGGGAATGTATATGTATAGCCTATATCAGATTGCACGCCATCTTGGGGAGGGAGGCAGGAAGGGAGGGGGAGAAAAATTTGAAATTCAGAAGCTTATGGAAGTGATTGTTGATAAATCAAAATAAATTAATAAAAAATAATAAAATAAAGGGATTAGACCAAATTAGGCCAGTAATATCCTTTTCAACTGTGACATTGTGTGATTCCAAAGTCCCTTTCAACATGGACATTTTTCATATCTATGAAGTTAGAAGAGAGCAGGTGCAATGGGTGAACTTTGATGCAAGAAAGAAATATTTGCCATTTGACAAAGTCTCTCATGCCATCCTTGACAATATGCAGCCATGAGCTGTATGAGGACAAGTAAGTAGATTCAGAAAGAGTCAAGTGGTCAAAAGCAAGGCTTAGTCTTCGATGGACGCCAGCCTAAAGAGAGAGCACTAAAGAAATTGCCCCAAGATCTGACACTTGACCAGCATTATTCTTTTCATCAAAGGCTCAGATAATAGCTTCTGCAATCTGCAGATGACAAAACTCTGGAAGGGAAAGCAAGCATGCTGGGGCAGAATGGGATAATGAGATTAATATAATACAATAAAATGAAAGCAGGATAAATATCAAGTACTACACTTGGATTAAAAAAAAAAAAAATCAGCTCCACCTTCCTAAGAGGAGAGAGGTGTGGCAAAGACCACAATCCCTGAGGAAAAAAATCTGAGGGGTTTTGTAGACTTTAAACTCAACATGAGTCAAAAGTGTATGATAGGCCTTTCCAATAATAATAATAATAATAATGATAATAATATCTAAAGCCACAAGAATAGAAGCACAATATCCAAAGTGAGGGAGGTAATAGTCCTGTTATAGTCTACCCACGTAAACTACATGTGGAGTAATGTATTCAGTTATGGGCCAACTATTTTAGTAAGGTTCCAAACTGGAACCCACCCACAGGAGTGAGAAGAAGACTGAAAAACACATCATACTGAGATTGGTTAAACAATTAAGAGATAGATAACCTGGAGAAAAGAAGACAGGGAAAGGCTAGGAACATCGGATAGGATTTTCAAATACCTGAAAAGCTATCACCTAAAAGGGTGTGCATTACAGAGGCAGATTTTAGCTAGGTATAAAGAAAATCTTAGCCACAATTAGATCTATCCACGAGTCAAATGGGCTGCCTGGGGAAGAAATGGACCCCTCCAACATGGGAGGCTGATGACTCCCTGTTGAGTAGAGTGTAGAGGGAATGGTTTGTAGTGTACATCTTCTGAGGTTCCTTCCAACTCTGGGTTTCTATGACTGAGATTTTGGAAAATGATTTTAAAATGCTATACAACCTCCCTCCCTTCGCTAAGGCGGCAGACCATAGGTGTAGCCTATTCCGGTTACTGTTAGGTATGATGGATACATTTAGCTGATCTTGCTAAACTATACTTTCTTATCTTTTATAAGGAATGGTTTGCTGTGGTTGGGGGGGAGGAATATTCTGAAATAAAAGTGTTGTTGAGACAAAGATAATAATAAAAATTTGATTAAAAAATTAAATGCTGAAGTATAACCAATATCAGATTGCTTGCCTTCTTGGGGAGGGGAGAGAGGACGGAGGGACAGAGAAAAATTCAGCTCTCAAAATCTTATAAAAAATTAATATTGAAAAGTATCTTTACATGGAATTGGAAAAAAAGAAAATACTATCTACAAAAAAATAATAATAATAATTAAATGCTGAACAAATGTAAGGTAAAAGCAGTCAATTGTTGTTCTCATTGAACTTTGGCCCACACTTTAATGTTCCCCAGTTTTCATGGCTTTCCTGCCAACCATCCCCACAATCTTTCATTGTGATAAGGATCTTTCTGATGCAACACTCCCAGGTCAACAACACACAAACGGGCAAGATGGAACAGAGAAGAGGGGAACAAAACAAGCTAGAATAGATGGAAACGCAGATTTGTTGTTATTCAGTCATTCAGTCATGTCCAACTCTTCATGACCCCGTGGATCACAGTACACCAGGCCCTTCTATCCTCCACTATCTCTCAAAGTCTGTCCAAGTTCATGTTAGTTGTTTCCATGATACTATCTATCCATCTCATCCTCTCTTGTCCCCTTTTCCGTCTTTTCCAACGAGTCCTGTCTTTCATTATGTGGCCAAAGTATTTAAGCTTCAATATTTGACTTTCTAGTGAATAGCCTGAATTAATAGATACAAATATGGATACACAAATGTCCTATAAATCTCACGCCAAATATATGTGTATTTGGCTGTTGCCCATCACCATTCACTCCCAAATGTCACCATAGTGCTCCAGCACTCAAGAACGGTTCTCTGTCATTGGTTTTGAGTTCTAGTCTCACATCACTCACTGCCTATTGGCCTTTTGAGGCTGGATATCCAGTAAGCATCTCAAACTTAACACGTCCATAACAGAACTTAGCATTTTCCCCCTAGGAAAACCCACTCCTCTTTCAACGTGTCTTATTTCTATCAAGGGCACCACAACCCTTCTATTCATACAAGTTGGCAACTTCAAAGTCATTCTTGACTCTTCCTCTCACTTACCCCAATTTATCCAATAAACTGCCAAAGCCTGTCTACATTCACAACACCTCATCTCTGTCTCTTTCTCTCTATCACCTCTAGACTGGACTATTACACTAGCCTCCTAATTGGCTTCTCTGCCTCAAGTCTCTTCCCTTTCTAATTCATCCCTTACAGTTTCCTAAGTGATATCCCTAAAGCACATGTGTGTCCACATCACTCCCCTGCTCAATAAACTCGTTTATTATCCCTATTATCTACAGGAACAAACATGAATCCTCTTTTGACATTTAAAACCTTCTACAACTTGACTCCAA